ACCCTGTGACTGCAGTTCAATTACTCACTATCTACTCACACGCATTACCGCGTCACGTTGTCCCCCTCTTATATATACCCGCCTACCCCATCTAGCAAACACTAGAGCATTCATGAAGAAACAAAATAGTTCTAGAAACTAGAGGGCGCCACCTGCAGTCATGTGACTCGCTGACGCAACATCACGTTCTCGCGACTTATCATAGTTATGTTGTTCGCATGGGATCTATCTCCTGACGACGAAAAAACTGTCTCGTTGGTCGTGCATACGACATAAATATTTATGTCTTTTGTACAAGATAGCTACCTATTTCCAATAGGTAACCTAGATAAAACAAATATACTGTGTTATTTGTTTTGTACAGATGTTAATATTTCAGCCGTATAACTAAAAATACTATTTACTTTTCTGTTTCATTTATTATGATCAAAAACAAACAGTTGGTTTTTGTTTTGCTTTATGCAATTTCTTTCAATGCATATGCAATTACAAATGTCTCAAGTATATAATGGATAAGCTGCATATATTCAAAGTAATGTTGTTTACCTTATCAGAGTTAGTAGTTTTATTACGACATAAACTGGGTGTAAAGTTCTTCGGAAGTGTTCTGAGCTAGTATAGAAGTCCTGGATCACGTGACTAAGCGTCACAACTTCCTTTCAACACCACCCAGTATTGAAAACATTTAACATTCATAATAGTAAACAACAGAAGTGGTACATTATATAGAATTACAACCTAGGAAGGAAGAATATTCTTAAATGGTTTAATGGTAGGTTTAATATTTGAATGTTTGTATATTTTATTATACTTCTTGTATATATACGTTTTATATATAAATACGTGTGAATTATAAGTTAGGCCTATAGAGAATTGGACTTTTTTCGTTGTTATGACACCCACATCATTATTACCAAACTGTAAGCCAAATAATTTAGGTTATCAGTATCACTAACAACGAATAACCTAGTTTAACTTTTTATAACTGCATGCTCCAGTGCATGTAATACGAACAGTAGCATAAAGATTTTAAGTAGTAAAAATCCCTGTAAGAAAGAGTTTAATTATCAACTACACATAGGAGAATGATCAGTACTTATACTTATAGTTAAACTATTAAATGACAGTGAAAAAACTATAGGCCTATGTTTTATATGAAGATTTTGTGAGAAATTAAGTCTAGACTAGAGAGAATACTATTTGCATTCACTGATGGTAGGCAAGAACTAGAATAGTACAAAAACAGGCTAACAGTAACAATTACTTTAATTAGCCTATTTGCTTTAGTATTTGGCTAACAGTAGCAATTATTCTAATTGGTTTAAAAATGTTAAATTAAAAATATATATTCTACAGATAATAAAAACTATTGTAAATAGAATATAATAATAAAATCGAGAGCATAATACAATAGTATCTTCGTTGCACATAATGTTTGTATAATAATTTCTACCAAAAACGTTGATAAAAATCTTCGATAAAAATTACTAACTGTATAATATAACAGTACTGTATTTTGTTTGTTGTATGCCTAAGTAATTACTTCGCAGGGTGTGGATGGACGTTCACTAAATTTCTTATGGAGGTTCATTGGGTCCATGGAGAGATACATACAAATTTTCAGTTTTGCATCTTGCATTTTGCGGTTTTTATGAGCGTTTGTGTTTTTTGACTACTACTTCGTCCCCTGTTGATGGATCTTCACCAAATTTGGCATGGAAATTTGTTGGGTTTATGGGGAGATACATACAAATTTTCAATTTCACATTTTGTGTTTTGGAGTTTTTATGGGCGTTTTTTACAATTACTTATAAGGGAAGCAAC